AATAAACCATAGACTGTATAAAAACATAAACACAAGCATTGAGTGGCCGCAATCAGCTTCAGATGCTGTATCAGAGCCACACTGCATCGCAGACGTGTGCAGTGTAAATGGTCTAAGCAATAATGGCAGGGAAAGCCCCTCATACTGGAGCGCGGCCACTTAAGAAGTATTTCTTGGAGGTTATAGTACACTGACTGAAGAATTATATGACTTTTTACATACGCCATGTGACCTGTAAATGCGAAAAAACCGTTTCCATTGCAGTTTTGCGAATTATTCCTTTTTCGCATTGCCTGAAAAACCACCTCATGCTAGCATAAAAACTTTTTTGCGATATATGGGAGTTTTTGCGAAATTGACGCGTTTCCATTAAGCGTATTTTCAATTCGCAATTTCAATTTGCGCAATTTGAAGGGTAATGGAAACGCGCCTAATCACTGACATGATCCATGGAGGAATGAACAACAGACTAAAGAAATTCCATACTGCTTGATTTTTGTGTGTTCAAATGGGATACCATTTCATGCTGTTAATGCAGTTGTATGTTCATTCCTTTATTTCATACATACTCAACTGTTACACCTAACTTCCAAAATTACAGTCTGGTTAAGTTTGTATTTGATCCGTCGAGACTCCCTAAAAGGAACACGTGCACAGACCCACTGCTCTTGTCTGTCAGTCACGCACACCATATAGCCAAAATGACAACATGACACTGCATCGCAGTATGCAGAGAGATGCCAATAATAAGTGCCATCGTGATTGCTCTGTCTAATGATGTACGTGTTTGTGTGTAGATACAGAGATCGACTGGAAGGCGTATATGGATGAGGTGGAGGGAGTTATTAACGGCACATATGACTACACACAGCTGAAGGGCGACACGGGGCCGCTGGTGTAAGTGTCAACACAGAACATTTCTGTAGAGCAGTGGTCACCAACCTTTTTAGGCCCAAGATCCCTGACCTCGGCCTTTATGAAAGACAAGATCTACCTATTGAAGAATTGATAGAAAAAGACATCCCAGATTGTACTTCAAATTTGAGGCCTTTTACTTAGTATTTTAATTAGTGATGCGCCGATCATAGCTGATTCAGAATTCAGATTTTCTTTTCTTTCTTTCTTTTTTAGCAATTTGGCTGATACTGATATTTAAGCAAATTTATTTATTGGCTATTTGCTTTATAACAAACAAACTGGCTTCAAACAAAAATATCTAGCCATTTGAAATTAAGAGGCAACCACTGCATTTTAATCACGA